TTTGAACTATTTTTGCATAGACTAAAGTATAAAGCAGTGAAAATCATTAACAGGCAATCGTTCGATTGGCTGAATTGCACAAAACGCATGATCACACCGGCTAGCCTGGTGCGCGTTGCCATTTATATTTTAATGGCCCTGTGATTTTGCCATCTCACGGTGCTTCATTGAAAATTCGTGAAATTACTGGAACAGCAGTATCAATATTTATGTGATTTACTTGACACTGTCGATAAATCTGACTGTACTTTTCCTCCGCACGCCGGAAAAAAGTAAAATTAATCTGTACGCATTGGCGGCTACTTTTTACACTCGTTCGGCGTTGAGTGAATGTCAGAAAACAAAAATTACGGAAAATGATTTTCTTATTTTCCATCATCTAAGCTTCTCCTGCTTGTTAGTTCTCCTTCCATTATTATTCTTGATCATATTTTATCACCCAATTTTGCTAATTTTGCCCAAAGTACGAAATTTCGTTCAAGTCAAACATTGAAATGCATACAGTGTAGAGCTAACGTAAAGCGAAAATTTCAAAATTGTAACGATACATTGAAGACAATATCCCTTGCCTAACTGGATCTATGTGAAAGGCAGAGTAACTCAAAATAGTCCGCGTGATAGCACATACCAAAAACAACCACATGCTGGTAAAATTGTCAACGAGTTCCTCTACCATTGTTAGCTTACAAGCAATATCAGTAGTTTTGACTTTCTTGCATAAAGGAATATGTGGGTCGATTAAGAAAAGGCAAAAGCAACAGACAGTTCCTAAATTTACCAGCTCTACTTGAAGCAATATCTTGGTAACTTGAAGAACTTATTTCACAACCAGTTCAGCTGTTAGGCTCACAACTCGCATCAATCAAATTTAGTAGATCCAAATAATTCACTGCTCGACTTGCCTGACCACGAATTTAAAGACTGAGGTTGAATCTGGGCTTCGAAGCTAATAGGCCTTCTGGCTTGAGGCTGATTCCAGTACTGTGAAACTTACACAGTCGAAGGCGATGATGCTCGGTTCGGTCTTTTCAATGGCCATAAATTACAATTTCCACATCCTTCATTTTTTATTGAGCAATGGAATTTTTCGGAAAGACATACAGAAATAATACAAAAAATGATGTTTTTGCCGTAGTGCGTTTCGTGCGTAATGAATCACTGGGAGCTACTGCAGCTTGGTAGACACAGTGGGTCGTGAATGACTAATGCCTGAATAACTCAATTTTTTTCAAAAATGATTCAAAAACAATCAATCAGATTTCATCACTCTGTTTTGGTCACACTTGCCGACTGCTTTTTATTCTAATTTTTCCGTGCGATAATAAATTTTTTCCAGCCATCGACATACGGAAAGAATTGAAAACGAACCGGAATTACACCAATCAAGAATGCCAAATTTTTTGATTTTGATCTTGAGCTCCTCAACTGTGCTTTTTACAGAACATGATTTAAACCGTCGGAATCTTTCGAACTTCAAGAGGACAAATGTGCGTCGACAACAGGCAGAGGAGCCATACTTTCAAATCAGTTCGAGGATTAAATTAACACAAGCGCGTGAAAAAAAAATCGTGGTAGTCGTAAAATAAATACACAAAAGCGCATTATTAGCACTGCAGTTAACCTAGATAGGCCACTGTTCCAGACAATACTCTAAAATAAGAGGAGGAAGGGGGAAATTCTAAACCCTTGGTACCATCAAGCTGAAACTCTTCCTAGCTTTCCCACCAGTAGTTCTTCACTCAATTTTGTGCTTGAATTTGAAGTCTTTAGCATCAGATATTTGCCCTTGCATGCCCTCTTTCCGAGTCGCTTTTTGACACTCGTTTAGCTAAATTTTTCACTCTTCTAATCAAATTTAGCATTGCTAACATGCTTGTTACGATTTTTATGTCTTTGAGCATTACACGGAAGCGCGCTTATCAGTCTCCAATGGCTTATCAGAGATTCAAACGGGTGCGGAATTTTTGAAATACTGCTGCCTTCCAGAACTAATGGGCGCAAGAGCGGCATGTGATTCGATGTGGCATCATTCGGAGTGACAATCCAGAAAAATAACATTTTTCATGATGCGGGACGAAGGAGTCTGGCAGAGGGGCGTGGAACTATGGCAAGACGTCAGAAGTTTTTTTCTCTGCACGGAATACGGACTTGATAAATTTGTGTACCCGTCATAGTTTCGTGTGAAAAACCGGTGGCTGTTCGTTCGTTTATCAGTGCTCTTATAAAACAGCGTGGGAATGGACGGAGCACGACTCAGAGCAATGCAGCAGCACTACTTGCATCATCTGCCTTTACGTCCTTTACATCAGTGCTGTCTCGCCTTTCTGTCCACCTCAAATGGCCATTGACTCGGATCCAACCAGTCTATCTATCAGCATGTGACCTCAGTTTTACCAGGATATTACCACAGGCTGAGCTCTGCTAATCCGTTCCCGCATGCCTTAAGCCAGATGTCCCAGACGTACAATTTTCATCTGACCATTATTTGCAGTGACCAGTATCCTGGTCTTTGCCTGTTGGACAAAAGGGACGCAGCACTTTTTCGGCTTATTTCGGCCTCCTTTTTCTCTTCTTTCAGATAAAATCTCGTGCTTTTGTGCATATCTGAGAATTTATCATTGTAACTTTTTGCAGATTCACGCAAAAGAAAATCTAAATCTGCTTGTCAGGATGAATACTTTAATACTTATTCTACTGATAATTGTGAAGTTATCACTGTGCATTGCGGTTCTGCAGTTCGGATACGATGCCAACAACCAGCTGTATTTTGGCGACGGAATCAACGGAATTTTCTTGACGTGCCATGGATTTGGATGTAGAGGTTAAAGTGGAAATGAAGTCAAGATTTGAAGTCAACGGCCGGCAGCATTCTCAGGATTTCAGTGTATCGAAAGCAATTCGAAAACTTCTCACTGTTTGAAAAACAATTTTTCACAGATTGAAATGACTGCTGTGTTATCGGGTGAATCTGCATAGTTCGGCATTGTGAAATATTTGTTGTTTTTTTTTTTTTTTTTTTTTTGCAGAATACGAAATCAACCAACTCCTAAATTCCAGAATACAAGTTGTTAACGATTTAGAATACAGGTTTCTAGCTGCACTGCATCCAATCAGCAAACTAGACTATAGAGATTTTGTTTGCGATTTTCTTTTATCGCTCTGATCAGCGGCTCTAGACGCTGCTCCTCTGAAACCTGATTGTAAATTCATCGCTTTGTTGTATATACGTGTATAGATAATTTATTCGCTTTTTTGACTTTTTTGTTTTACTTTTATTTTGTTAACAATTTTTCAGCAAATATGTTATACTTTTTGTGTCCTTTTGTTACTTTTGTTTTGTTTTTATGTGAATAAACATTAACTAAACAATTCAGTTAGCACAGACAGAAAAAAAGGAAACAGTGCAATCGAATTAAATGCCTCGTAAAAAAGATAAATCAAAATATTGGCAACTTTTTTTACTCCTCGCTAAACTATTTTCTGAATGTGAAACTGCTCTTAATTGTTAACTCCCTCCGATTTTCCATCTTCCACTTCTACACTTGCTATCCATCCTTCTAAAAAAAATTCAGGAATTTTTTTTGAGCTTCTTAGTCAGCCGTAGCTTGTGCCATTTAATCTATTTTGATATCAGAGTGGAATAAATCTTCCTTACAACTCATTCTTTGTGAGGCAGTCGAAGTAAAGGGATTTATTAGTACGAGTGAGTAGCAACAACAAGTTGACAAAGCTACCAAACTGCAAAAAAGCAAGGAAAAGGTGAGTCAAGACACGTGTCAATACAGTTTCCTGGTACCTTTATTGATCTGAAATGTTTGCTTTCCGCGTAGCTTACATCAAAAACTTTATTTTGCAATTATCCAGTAATTTAAAAACGAGCAGTTAAGGCAGATACCAAGATGTGTTTTTGTATGATTTTGTGCTGTAGTGAGGTCGTCTGAAGTCGCGCACATCATCATATCCTCAGAAAATTCGAGCTTTTTAGCCCATTTGGTTTCCAAAATTGCTTTCCTGTCAAAATTAGTTTGTTACTCCCGTGTAAAAATATATGAACAGGCCGTGCAATCATTTCATTTACACGGACTCGCACATAAGCAGCAATTATTCCCCTAAAATAAGAACATATTCAGCCTAGTTCTAAAATTGGCGTTTTGCCAGTTGTGTTAAAATCACAACTTTAACACGCCGTACATGTGACATACAATTTCGTTTGAACCGGATTTAAAATCTCTAACTCC